GAAGAAGAAGAAGACGAAGAAGAAGGATTTCAAATGTCTGTCTTGCAATAAGCCCCAAATTCTAAACCCTTCTCTTATCATGAGAATTCTTACCTGGTTACTGCCACTGACCAGACAATGAAACTGAAAACAAATGAATTTTAGGAATGACAGCAAGTAGTTCTGCATAATACTATGTTTTAGAATCAAACATGGACCTAATATTATGAAGTAATTTCTCCTAAGCCCACTCTGAGGGCCTCATCTAAAGCAAGGATAATTACAATACTGCATCCCAGATATGGAATGTTAAGATACTTTAAGCTGGACAGGGCAATGCCTTGATTTCTATTCTTTGCTTTCTTTGTTTGATGCCTTCATTTGCACATGGTTTCTAAATATACCAAATAATACATCACATTTCTAATGAATAAACAATATCATCAAAATTGGTAAGAGTTAGTAGTCATTAGTACTACATTTTGGTCTTTAAAAATCATTTTTTTTTAAAGCCAGGTGCCAGTGGTTCATATCTGTCATCCTAGCTACTTAGAGGCTGAGAGCTGAGGAACGTGGTTCAAAGCCAGCCTGGGCCTGAAAGTCTGTGAGACTCTTACCTCCAATTAACCACCAGAAAACCGGAAGTGGCACTGTGGCTCAAGTGGTTGAGTGCTAGCCTTGAACGAAGAGCTCAGGGACAGTGCTCAGACCCAGAGTTCAAGCCCATGACTGACAGAAAAAAAAAATCACTTTTTTTGAGAAAGATCTTATTATAGAAAGCCCAGGCTAGCTTAGAACTTGCGGCCTAATTTCAGTTTCCCAAGGACGAGGGTAACAGCTGGTGCCATCACACCGAGCTTCTTCTGTTTAAATGGAGTCTTGTGGACTTTTTCTGCCCAAGGCTAGCCTCAAATAAAATTCCCAAATCTTAGTTTTCCACTAGCTGGGATGATAGGCACATGCCATACACCCAGGTCTGGGTTAGCAGGGGTCTTGTGAGCTTTTTGTCTGCGCTGGCTGTAAACTGAGATCCTCTTGATTTTAGTCATCTGGGTAGCACGTGTGAGCTCAGGCATCCAGTTCATCTTCAGAGTTCTAAACACCATTTTCATTTTTTTCTTATAAAAATCCAAGCACTGGCATGCATAAGGTCCTTTTGTTCAATACTCAGCCCAGGAAAAAAAATTTGGCAAAATGTAATTAAACAACTGTCCCATTCCTTTTCCTGTCAGTACTAGGGTTTGAACTCAGGACCTCCCACAGCCACTTGGCTTTCTTGCTTAGAGCTGGTGCTCCATCATTTAAACCATGCCACCAGGCCAGAATTTTGCTTGTTAATTGGATACAGAAGGTGTTTTTGTTTTGTTTTGTTTTTCCACCCTCAGAATGGCTTTAAACCTCCTGAGTAGCTACAATTACAAGTATGATCCTCCAGCACCTGGCCGGGTAACTGTCCCCTTTACAGGAATAATAGACTGGAAAAATATAAGTCTGGGACTTATCCACTACTCACTTCCTAATAGTGAACGCTGACATGACTATTTTGTGGTTGCCAATTAACCACATTCATCACTTTCACTATTGCTTCAAAGTATAATCAAGACAGAAGGCTGTCCACCAATGTTCTCTGTCTATAAAGTGGGGCTTGACATTCAGGTATGGCCTCTTTTAATCAAGAAACAGCATTTTTCTTGGGCACTTATATCCATCCAGCTTGTCTTTGCCAGTCTACATCAAGCCCACAAAGTAATTATTAAATAGAAAAAAAATCTCTTATGAAACAGATTTTCAGTGGCAGACAAAATAAAAAGTTGTCAAGAGGTTTTGCCTTACACGTATCATACATATGCCAAGAGCGAATTCATTCTTGACATGCCAGTAGTTCCGTTCAGCTACAATGGCTGTCCCCCCACCACCCACACCCACTATCTGATACTGACATGAGATACCTTTCGGTTTCTTTCAGTAAGGAAATTTTGTTAATAATTTGTTTTATTTTCCTCTACCTGGTGTGGTATTTGTCATTAATTTTGTGGATAGTTTTACAAGTTTCTCAGATTTTCTAGAACTAATACTTATTTTAGGTTTAAGTTTTGGTCTGTTCTTTAAAGGTAAAATTAAAAATTCATTCATTGCATATCAGAAAAAATAATATTTGGCACATTTAGGAAAACCTCAACTGGTTCAATACATCATTGTTTCTTTATAAAAAATATTTATATGATGCTCTGATGGCTTCATGCCATTATTTGACATGGTTTCATTACAAAGAATGCATAGAAGATAAAGGGAAATGGATTACTGGCCTAATAAAATCCAACTATCAGATATTCATCATTATATTACCTGTCCACATTTTTATTTTATAGGTGCTTGTACAAAAACATCACACTAAACTATTTTCTTGTCTACCGACATACAGATAAGAGTCATATTCTTTATTTGTACCAGTGTAGTTCTACTTACGCTTGTAATCTTAAACTAAATTGTAATTTAGATGTCAGCATTTTCATCTCTCCTTTTATGCTTCAATGACCTACTTTTGAGCTACTAATTCAATTTGAGTTTGGGGTTCTAATGCAATAAAATGGTAATAACAGAACTGTATATTTGCTGGGCACTGGTGGCTCATACCTGTAATCCTAGTTAATTACTCAGGAGGCTAAGATCTGAGGATCACAGTTCAAAGGCAGCCCAGGCAAGTAAGTCCATGAGACTCTGATCTCCCAATTAGACACAGAAAAAGCTGGAGGTTGTGCTGTGGCTCAAGTGGTAGAGTGCTAACCTTGAGCAAAAAAAAAAAAAAAAAGCCCAAGGACAGCACCTAGGCCCAGAGTTCAAGCCCAGGACCAGCAAAAAAAGAAAAAAAAAAAGAAAAGAGAACTGTACATTTAACAAGTGCAATCAATATGCAAACAGGTTAGCTGAGCGAATTAGACATCTTACAAATGTCTGAGACAAACAGAACATTCTAATCATTAGGAATGTAACAGAATACCTGGGAAAATTATCATTAATCTTACATTTCAAATGTGTAAGATGTACATGAATGCCATTTCAAAACTTTTACTTTGAAACACCAAAGTGGTAATAATGTGTCAGTCACCAGCCCTCAGGACTGCACACTTTAAGTCCATTCAAGTTTTAGGTTGGTTTTTGTATGTTTGTTTGTTTGTTTTTTGCTTGTTTGGTGGTATTGGAAGCTGAAGTTGGAACCTCGAAATTGCTAGACAGATACTCTATCACTTGAACCATGCTTCTAGCCCTCTTTGCTTTGTGTTATTTTGGGTTATATAGTGAGTCTTGAACTTTTGTCTAGCCAGCCTAGACTGCCATCTTCCTACTTACACTTCCCATGTAAGTGGGATGAACGAGTTCACACCACTATGCACAGCTATATGTTGAGATAGGGGTTCCACAAACTTTTTGCCTGAGATGGCTTTGAAACGGAAATATTCCCCATCCTCAGTTGAGTAGCTAGGATTACAGGAGTGAGCTGATGCACCTGGCCCATTAACAGTGAAAACAGCAAAAGAAAAAGAACGTCAAGTGATTCAGAAAGCAGATGTCTTCCGGAATGTGGTGGTACATGTCTATAATCCCAGCTACTGGGGAGGCTGAAGTCAGAGGACCATGGTCCAAGGCTAGTCCTAAGCAAAAACACAAGGCCCTATCCAAAAAACAAACTACAAACAAAAGGACTAGGGGAGTAGTGCAAGTGGCAATGTTTGCCTAGTGAGCTTGCAGCCCTGAGTTCAATCTGCAGTACATCTAAAAATATGAAATAAAATAAAGATAAAACAAAAGCAGATATCTTGCCTCTTGTGTAAGAATAAACCCATATCACAGGCCTTTGGAGAGCTGGGCCTACCTGAGGGTTCTCTTCCCGTTTTGGTTTGGGTGCAGCAGGTGGGGTGATAGTGCGGCTCTCTGTTTGCTTCTCGTCTGTTTCGGTGTGAGATTTAACTGTCTAGGAGAGAAAAATTAAATGAAAACTCAGAACTCACTTTTTATTAAAAGAGTGAAAGCAAACGGTGGTTGAATTATGATCACGAAGAAAGAAAGGAACATACTCAAATGAGGAGCATGAGAAAGGAGTTTGTATCGTGCATTTTTCTGGCGGGGCGGGGCGGGGGGGAGTGTAAAGCCCCTGCTGGAGATATCAAATGGCATAACCGCGTTAAAGAGGAACCTAAACATGACGACCACCTCTAAATTATAGAAAAAGAAATCCACAGTACAATTTTGTACACACTGCTCATTTCTGTGTACGGTAGGGTACAGGGTAGTTTCCCAGAAGCAAGCACACATCATTACATAGGCCAAGCTCTAATCAATGGCATGCTTAATAGCCAGACAATGTAAAAGACATGCTATGCTTCAAATTAACTCCAGTCACAGTGTAGAGGGGCTGGAGATTTACTCCTACTTGGGATACTTAAAATCTCCTATATTGTGAGAGGAGAGATTGGACTGCCAAAAAAAGGGCTGTCTTACGAGAGGCTAAAGTTCTGATTCATTCCAATCCCTTCGAGAAGCACCTGCTTATACATGTAACACACTAGCTGCAGTACACAAATGGTGGCCAGCCATGATCCAATGCCTAGTTCATTTTTATGAAGTGCTATAAATACCGAAATGACTTTAAAACCAAGGATATACAGCTATAAATACAAATCTAATTGTGCAGTTTTTCAAATAGAAAATTTTGTGGATAGCCTTTTCATATGCTAACCTAAGTAATTAAATGAGGTTATCTTATTGTTGACGGGCAGAGTCAAATGTAAGACTCAACTACTAAGTGGGTACCAAAAGTCCTCAAAAATCCTGATGCTGTGAAATGTTTTATTAGACCTGAAAAACAAACATAATGACAAAACCTTCACTCTCTTCTGAGTCACTTCCATTGTCTCCCTCTGCCTTCTATATTATACATTAGGACACAGTGAGGACTGTTAGCGAACACAGCTCTGGGGCATGCATGTTGCCTTCCCCCCCCTCCCTACACTATAACCCACTTGGGGACTGTTTCATGTACCCCTTGTTTTGTTTTGCTCTTTTGTCTCTGGCATCTTTTGTCTCTAGTATCTCATGTGTGCAGATATTCAGTAAGGAGCTACTGATCTTGAGTGACGTATAGGATCTATCAGGAAAAGTCTTCACATTTCTCTTTCCACTCTCCTGCTTTATCCTCCTGCTCCCTTTGCAAGTTTTTAACTTAAGTAAAAAGAACACAGTTTCTCCACGAAATAAGCCTCTAATGAGAGGGCAGTTCACAGTGACATTTTTAAAGGCTCTGAATACTCAGAAAGCTTATTTTCATGTCTCATTGACTGCAGGACAGAGCACCAAGAAGGCCGATCCTAAGAGTTTGCTGTTCTATCCCATGGCTGTGGGCAGCAGCAGCCTAACGCGGAGGAAGCACTTGGTGGCAAGGCCCTAGAAAAGGACCTATCAGCCCATCTCCATATCTGAGGGCTGTAAATCCCAACAAATAAAAATAAAATGATCCTGCAACAGTAGGGGGGTAGCCTTTCTCACATGGGTCTCTTTCTGAGAGAAGCCATGTGCTCCATTTTTAGCAGCACTATGAGAGACTCAAGTGGTAAGGAACTAATAAGCCCCTTGCCTACAGCCAGCAAGCAAGGAATCTAGGCCTGCTTCCATCCATATGACTAGCCTGGAAGTAAACTATTTAGCTCCAGACCCAGGCAATTTTTTGACTGCACACAAGTGAAGGACTCTGAGTCAAAATCACCCAGCTAGGCTTCAGACCAGAAAGCAGTAGAACAGCATCTTCAAAGAGATGAGAACAATCCAACAAGGTAATAATGAAATTCTATAACCTGTAAAAACTATTCTTCAAAAATGAGGTAGAAGGTCCGGGCATTGGTGGCTCATGCCTGTAATCCTAGCTGAGATCTGAGGATCGCAGTTCAAAGCCAGACCAGGCAGGAAAGTCTGTGAGACTCATATTTTCAATTAACCATCAGAAAACTGAAAGTGGCACTGTGGCTCAAGTGGTAGAGCAGTCACCTTGAGCTAAAAGAACTCAGGGACAGTGCCCAGGACCAGAGTTCAAGCCCCACAACTGACAAAAAAAGGTGTGTGTGTGTGTAGAAATAAGGGTATTCTCAGACAAACAAAAGCTGAGAACATGCAGTACTCATGCACCTGCCTTCAAAGAATTTCTAAAAGGGAGTCCTTCATGCTGAAATGGAAGATTAATTAGTAACTTGAAGCCATATGAAGAAATAAGAACTCCAAGAAAGGCAATTACACAGGCAAATGTAAGAGGCAAATGTAGTATGGCAGCTTTGATTTGCAACTGTTCATTGTATTTCCTATACAAAAAGACAAATGCACAAAACAATCATCTTAAATCTATAGTAGTAGGCATTCAACAAATAAAGATGCAATTTGTGATGACAAATGAGGATAAGAGCTGTTCAGGAACAATTTCTTAATGTTACTGAAGTCACATTGTTAACTTAGGTTTTGGGGTTTTTTATTTTTATTTTGTTGTTGCTGTTGTTTTGCCCAGCTGTCTCTGAGCCCCTTTGTGCTCAAGGCTAGCATTCTACCACTTGAGCCACAGCACCACTTCTATGTTTTTCTGAATAGTTTATTGGAGATAAGAGTCTTATGGATTTTTCTGTCTGGGCTGGCTTTGAACTGTGATCCTCAGATCTCAGCCTCCTGAGATAGCTAAGATTACAAGTGTAATAATCTTAGCACCCAGCTAACTTACGAATATTAAGTGTGTCCCTCAGTGACGGTTAAGAAAATAATGTATGGAAAAGGAAATGAAGACATGACAATAGTAGAAAAAAATAAAACTAGAAAAAAATATAAAAAACCATGCGAGGAATAAATATATAAGTAAAATACATGTAGTACATGTATTTTATGTACATGTAGTATAAGTATGTATAGATATACACATATAAATAATGTAGTAAAGAAACAGCTAAAATGGCTTAAGTCCTTCCTTCAAGAATCACTTCAAAGCTAACCAAATTAAACTCAACACTATAAGACAGGGTAGCATGGATAAAATAAACAAACCAACAAATTGCTGTATCCTAAAGCTCATTTAGAATGGGAAGAGCAAAAGTATTGAAAATGAAAGCATGAAGAGACTTTTCATCCAAAAGTAACTAAGAAGATGCAGGGATGAATATCAGACAAAATTGACTACAAGTCAAAATCCATAACAAGAAACAACAGCCATTACAGAAGAACAAAAGAGTCACTGTAGAAAGAATATACAACAATTATAGCATATGTGCACCTAAACAACAGAGTTCCCAAACATATGAAGCACATACTGGCAGATGTGAGGCGGGAAACAGACTGCTCCACAATAAAGGATGATTTCAATGCCCTACTTTACATAATAGAAGTAACATGCAGATAGAAGATTAATAAGCAGCACTGTAAACCAATTAGACCTAACAGACATCTAAAGAACACTAGTCAGTAATAGTGCATGCATTTTTCCCAAGTGCACACAGACCATTATCTAAGATAAGTTGTTTTTTAGGATATAAAACAAATAACAAACTTTAAAAATAAAAAGCCCTGAAATCATACTAAAAGTATAGAATCTAACAATCAGTTACAGAAGGAAAAGTCTTTATAACCAAAGATTTCAAGTTACTAACCTAACTTAATAGTTTATGAATCACAAAAAAAGAACTAAGCCCAAACACTGGTGTTCCATGCCTGTAATCCTAGCTACTCAGGAGGCTGAGATCTGAGGAATGTGGTTCAAAGCCAGCCCAGGCAGGAAAGTCTGGGAGACTCTTATCTCTAATTAACCAGAAAACCAAAAGTGGTGCTGTGGCTTAAAGTGGTACAGCACTAATCTTGAGTGAAAAAGCTCAGGGGTAGCATCCAACAGACCCTGAGTTCAAGCTCCATGACAAAAAAAAGAAAAAAGAAAAAAAGAACTTAGAACAAAACTAGCAGTAGGAAGAAAATCATGAAGACTAGAGTTAAATAAAATACAGACAAACAACAGAATCTACAAAACCAAAAGTTGATTCCTTGAAGAAAAAAAAAGTCAAAATGTATAAACTATTTAGAGTAAAAAAAAAAAACTATAATAACTAAGATCAAAAAAATGCAAGTGGGAGGACTGGGAATGTGGCTTAATGGTAGAATGCTTGCCTAGCATGCATGAAGTCCTGGGTTCCATTCCTCAGTAACACACACACAGAAAAAGCCAGAAGTGGAGCTGTGGCTCAAGTGGTAGAGTGCTAGCCTCGAGCAAAAAGAAGCTCAGAGACAATGCCCAGGCCCTGAGTTCCATCCCCAGAACTGGCAAAAAAAAAAAAAAAAAAAAGTAAGTAGGGACACTACTCATAGTCCCATAGCAAAAAAAAAAGGGGGGGTTTCAGAAAGATAATTAATATACTAATGAATTGAAAAACAGGAGAAATGGAAAAAATACCTCACACACACACACACACACACACACACACACACACACACACACACACACACACACACACACAC